GAGTAAACATTAAATGGCATGATAGTAAGAAGGGAAATGTTTCCTCTGTGTTGTGATATAGTGTAGGGGTTTGGAGAGAATTGTGTCATCCTCAATCAGGAGAGAGCAGCAGAGAGCTTGTATTGAGTCCAGGGAAAGGAAAATTCACAAAAGTCTGACTACAAGAAGCATAGGAGCTCCCCATGGTTATCTAGTAGAGTCCAAATAAAATATCTCAAGCTAAGTAAAAGAAACAACCTGAAAAATCTTTGAGAAATGCATAGAAAAATATGGCTCCAAGTGATGCTGACAGTCCATCTAATCCAGTTGTCTTCCCAGAAGCAGGATCTTTTCAAAGCATTCTGACCAATACATTGGAGTTTAAACCCACAATCTCTTTGGCTGTTATTATATTGGCCTATCTGAAACCAGATCAATATCAGTTTCCTCTACCTGCAGGTCATTTCCAACCTGTCCTAGACTGATGAGGCAGGCTTTAAATTCATCGGAATGTAGATTGTCAGATTCATCCTAGCATCCCACCACAGGTCATGCATTTGGGAAGGTGAAAGGAAAGAAAGAAAAATCACAGGTCAGGTTAGTTGGTTAGTAAAGAACATTCTACTCTTGTATTAATAACCACATTTTTACAGAAGTTCATGGAAATGTAATGTCAACATATTGCAATGAATTACCTAAGAAGTGTACAACTTTTATAGTTTCATGCTCCAGGTTTTTTCTTAGTGGAAGAAGGTTCTTACTTCAACTACAGAATTAAAACTGTGCTTTCTCTACAGGTGCTTTTTAACATTTTTGCTGATAAAGCAGGCTTTACTCTATTGAGCTGCCATTTGCTTCCTTCATTTTCTATTGTCACACAGTGTATGTGAGATGCAGTAAAAAGATCACTGAACCTGGGCAAAACATTTTTCCCTGCTCAATTACTGTTACTTCACTCTTGATCTGGTAATATTACTTAACAACTGAATATGCATATCTCAAAAGAGCGTAGACGTACAAAACAATTGATTTCCTCTCTAGATCCAAAATGAATTTATAACTGACATAACTTATTTTCAGTTATCTGTCTTATTTAATAATCTATACAGTAAGGTTTTGCTTTGAAAACTGACTTTTAAAAAGTACCATTGAATTCCAGGTTAAATGGCTGCTAGTAACACCACATCAAACTGGATCATTGTTTTGAACCAATTTTTTTTTCCATTTTGCAGGTCACGAAATTCACACTAACTTCTTAAAAAGAGACCAGCTCAGCTTTTTCCTCCTGTTCATACAAAATGTGTCCTATCAGAGTTAACACAAATATAATTAAAGACATGTTCTAAGATGAAAAATTATTACCCTTATTGATTTTAAAGACTGACAGTTTGGAGAAGATCCAAGGTTTTCTGTCTGCTATATATTTGCCTCCCAGATGAATTATTTATTTTTCAAATTTTCTATATACTTATGCATAACTAAAATTATAGGAGTTTTAACAAATGCACTGGGTATGTTTAATATACTAATAGGATAAAGTGGTGCTTTATTAAGTTCATAACGCTATGCATTTTTGACGTATCATGCTGTTATTATATTGACTCCTTCTGCATCGACCTCCACTGGCTCCATAAAGGGAAGATGAAAAATAACAATAGGAAGTCAATGACGAGAGATAAAGCAAAGCTGCACATCTAGAGCAGCATTTAGTTAAAAGCCATAATCACAGTGAAGTTTTTTTTCTTTAATATTTCTATTTTATAGAATAATTCTTGCTATAAAGCATTCAAAAATGGTTTATTTAATCATTCTGAAAGTGTTCATCTAGGCTGGCTTGAAACACTGAAAAACCATCCTGGAGACAGACTATGGCAGGTCACACCAGGGGTGAAGTCAGCTCATTTTACCTTATTGCTAGAGCCAAAGATATTACTGCGTGACTGCAAAGAAAATGATATAAAAATGGGAGCTAGGAGCCAAATCCTATCCCTTCCCCTCCTCTCCCAGGAGTTGGCAGATGACTATTAGCTACTTGACTACACCAGGGGAGCGGGTGGTCAGTATGTGCATGAGCTCCCTAACCAGGCACAAGTGACAGCAGTAGTCGTGCAACAGGTAGCAAAGGGCAGATGGGAGTAAGTGAGGCCAGCACATCTACCTAGAAACCGTTTTGTTCAGGAGAGGGGTGCAATGGTTGTGCTGGAGCTCACAGCTGTCATCTGGTAAGTGGGACTCCCCAGTGAGTAGTTCTCGCTCCAAGTAGTGAGAACCTGCTATAGCACGTGGCACAACATTCTCGTAGTGAATTTTTTAAATCTGCATCATACATGGCCTAAAAAGGCATCTTTGCCTTTGCCGTATAGCAGAGTTTCATGGGATACAATTGTATTTCGCAATTAATGCATAAAACAAACCCATGCAAGGGCTTTCTCATTGTGAAATAGTTCTTTGTATTTATTTTTATCATTTGCAGACCAACATTAGGCACTGAAATTAGTTTTTCAAAGCGTATAAATAACTTTGCCTTGTTTATCTTTTTCTGCCAATACAAAGTAAAACACTGAAATCCCCCTCCATGTTTCATCATTAGTTCCCAAGAAATCTTTTCCTTCCCTTTGGTGATTTATATGTGGCCTTATAAAAGAAATGAGCTTCTGAGTCAAAGTAATCCATTCTTAAATATGTCCTTCAGTTTCCTGAATGCTAATTGACCTGCATAAGCCTGATCATGTGGTTCTTTTAATAGGGAGCTGTTGTTTTTCTGTTAGTAAAATATAGGGTGGCATGATGCTATTGTTCTGTGTGCAGAGCTCCTACTTAAAATCTGTAAAAAAATCAATAGCAGAATATGTTATCAGCCATTAGAATATTACATGCAGAGCAGCTGCAGATATTTTATCACATACTTTGCAATCTTATTTAGAATTTACTAAATATACTGAATCTGAAAAAGGAATCCTTGCATAAAAAGACTTCAAAACCAGTGACTGACAACATATCTGTGCTGGTGTCCCAATTTGTCTGCAAACCATAATTCAGCTATGCACCATTCTGAATGCTTCTAAACTGCTTCTGTGATTCAGACATTATGTCCCACTTTCTCTTTTTTTTTCTCTATGCAGTCACATTAAGGAAGGAAATGTACCAGTGCTGCTAAAGATGTGTATTTATACCTACAACTAGACTGTGCCTTCAGGCACAGCCCCCAGCAAGGAGCAGTGGGGAAGCAGCAGCATCCTCAGGAATAACCTCTGGGGTAGCAGCATGTGCCCATGCCTGTTGGAAACCCAAGAGCCTAAAGGGCCGCCCAAGGAAGATAACGTATTTACCACTTGCCTTTAACAAGTATGACTTGTAACTCTTCCTGTGCTAGCGCATCTCTGCAGTGGATGCATTGAAGGAAACACAACTCTTCCTGCCCTTGTAATTCTTATATGCATGGTGCCCACTTACTCACTGCAATTTGAAAATCAGCGGCATGCAGCACCCCAAAAAAACCCCTTGTAAAATGCCAAATAGTTTTCTTTCAAATATTCAAGATGTAGAAGCTATTTAAAACAATTCACACAGTTATTTAGCTCTCTTTCAAAGGATTAACAACTGCAGAATTAAGCTCCATAATAGATTATGAACTGTAAGATTTTTTTTTTTTTTTATATTCTTCCTGGAGAGGACAACAGGGGTTCCTTCCTCAGATTTATAAGCAAAGGAAGTTGTTTCTAGAAGCACTCTATAAAAAGTTGTTAGGTTCATGTGTACCAAAATACATTCTTTAAAATGGGGAAGGGAGCCACTCTGCATATTAGTACTTTGCTGACATCCTCAACACACACTAAGAGTCAAACATTAAGATATGTCTTAAATTGGAAAAGTGCCACAGAGCTATAGCATGCATAAATGTTTCTGTTGTGCTCAGGTATTTAAAGCCTACTCATGAGGGACAGTATTAATTTTGGGGGTCTTTTCTGGCTATTCATCATTGTGAATAGCAGTCCAATTCTCTCAGTGTATTTTTTAAACTATTTCAGGCATTCAGAAATGCTAAGCACAACAAAACTATTACATACACTGCTAATTCCATCTGACATGGACAAGCCAGTATTTTTCATGTTAGTGCATACATTCAGATGACCCAGTTTCATCTTCATTTCTACTTAAGGTAATCAAGACCATAAAAGAATCCATTACTGCCTTCTCTATCTAAATTCCAAGTTTAGAGTCTTCATTACTTTGTGTACCCTGAAGTAACTCTGAAGCACCCTGGCTTTTCTTTATTCACCAACACTAAATATTTGAGTGTGCAAGCACATAGGAAAGATACAAAAATGAAAACCAAGCCTGCCTCTCTCAAACATGTTTGTTCAGTGTCTCCTTGTAGCCTGTGTAGATTGAGTTGCATCTGCACATTAAATTACAGTATAATTTGATCAGTATAAGCTTCTTTTTTATCAGCATTTCTATTATCTGTAACCTGCAGAAAGCCTGGCTTGATGGCTGAGTGGTTTTAGATATTACCTTCTTCCTTTCTTTAACTTGCATCATGCTACTAAGAACATAATTGTTGCACTGTGTCAGTGCAAAAGTCCTCCTAGACCAATTTCCCATGTCTGATGCTAAGGGAAGGAGTCTAATTAATGGGGGCATATGCAAAATGGTCCTTCCCTTAACGTCATCCTTCCAGGCCTCTTTTTTAAGGCCTTCGGATTATGTCTGTCATGGGGGAAGGTAAGGTCTGCAGCTAAACTTGCAGTCCAGGCCCAGGTTGTTGAGGCCATAGAAACTGGTGAAGCTCCAATTCTCCAGAACTACTTCTGCTTCTTGACCCAGTTACTCGGGCTTCCTGCAACAGAAGCAAGGGCAGAAGGGATGCTGCCTGAAGCCATGACCCACTATAGCCTGAAGAAAGGAGACAGCCAGGGATAGGCAAGGATCTAGGAGCTGGGAAGCACTTCTGTGTTGCACATTATTGTCATAGCCCGTCTCCAACCTGCCTACAGCTGTGTGACACGAGCGCCCTCTTCCAGGCCATACAACCTTTCCTAAGGCCTTGCTCTATTGTATCCTTTGGCATCTCTAAGTCTTACTATATCTGCAAAGCCTAAAGATCCATACCAACAGGGCTGGTTGGTGTAGGATTTAGCTCCTCCCTTCAAGACCTTCTGAGGCACCCAGAGATGCCCATAATACCTCCCCAGCCACCAAACCAGCCTTGCCACAAGCATGGCAGAGAACTCATCTATGAACTACAAAGATACAGGGATGCTAGGAATGGCCATCTAGCACAAGATATACTAGGATTCAGTCACCTTGCTTTCTTATCTTTAGGGAGCTGTCAAACTTTGTGCAAAGTCCCTGGTTTCCCTTAACAGGGTCTCTCAAATACTGGCGTGTAATTTATCCAGGCCTGGTACTCTGTCTGCTTTTAGTAGCTCTAATTGCTCAGTTATCTGCTCCAGTGCATTGGGAAAGCCATTTAGTGTGCTACTTCCTTCCACCCCAGAAAATTTATCTCTGCTTCTGTGATGTTATCTTCCGCTTCCTTAGAAAATACAAAAAGGAATTATGCTGCACTAGAATCACATTAACATTTTCCATAAAATCTGTTCCTGGTTCCTGTGTAGCTAACCTTTCCTATGCTTGTGTGGTTCTTCAGAAAGCAGAGGTTTGGCAATTCTGCTTTTCTTTCTAAACAAAGAAGGATATTCTAAAGAATGTTTAGCAAACTGTGACTGTCCACAGCCAATGCACATCAAGTATAAGTCCAGGTATGGGTAAACCATTTTGAGTAGAGCTGGACAAACAGGAATGTCAGTGAAAAGGAAGTGGCATTTTGCTATAGCCTGAAATGATTTGAAGGAGCCAACTCATGTGACAACAGAATATAAGTCAGGGGTTAAGGACAGTCTGCTAACTACAGGAACCTCTACTGGGAAAAAGACAACCGCCTGGTCCTGCATTATGGCAATCTTTTTTCAGTATTTGAAATGTGAACTTGGTTTTGAAGGTGTGCTCATATGAGCACAGAGCCAGCAGAGCTGACTCACGTACAGACTGTTCTCCAGCTGGGAATGTCAGATCCCTGTCTGCATGTATTTTATTATTGCTTCTATTAATAGCTATCTTTTTAACCCTCTATCCATGAATACCACGTAACTCACAGAAAGAGGGAGTTAAGTTTCTTCACAATAGTGTTTTCATTCCTACTTTTGTATTAGATAACTGAAAAAACCAGCCTCTTATTTCCCACATACAGCCAGAAAAATAAAGGATTTTCCTTGACAGCTATCAGTGCCCCGACTATATTCCCTACAAATCTACTTCTAGGGGGACAAGTTGTGATGCAAAGAAAAAAAAAACCTGTAATCCAGATTACAGCTAAATTTAATAAGATGGAAGCTGCCGGCAAATACACAGAACATGCTACACTGTCTTAAAAGAAAGGGGCACATTATTTTCCAAAACACAGAGATTTATTCAGTTCTGCCTGAACTATATTAGCAGAACTATAATTTTGCATTACACTTAAAGAGTAAAAACTAATCTTTAATGTAAAAATTAATCTCTAACTTATCTGTACAATGCTATTATTTCATAAGGCTGTAAATTCTTTATTAGCTGATCTTTTTTTCTGTTTTACAAACAGCCTGTTGCTACTGCATTTGCAGTTTTTTAAAAGGCTTACATTTGGAATGACAAGAAACTTGCTTTGTGAAACAATAAATATGACTAGTTGAGAAAAAGCAAGAGTACTGTACCCTGTCAAAATGATTGAATGATGCTCTGAAGTCATTCATTTGTTCCTGGGTGATACCCTTGGCATCTCTTGTGAGGATCTGAGTCTCAACCTCGTTGATAGTTCGAGCAATAGTGGTAAGTAAGAGCTCCCATCCAACACGGATGTGCTATGAGAGAGAAAATACTGATTTATTAAAGAATCAAATATATTCTTCTAAGAGTATAAAAAGTACTGTAAGCCAAAAATCAGCTCCCAATATTTATGTGATACCTTTTCCATACCACTAACTCTATATTATGACCAAGGATCATTAAAAATAAAAACGGCTTTCAGAAAAATACAGAACTTGTTTCTAAATGGGTACTTCTTCACTAAAAGTAAAAATAAGTGGAAATAAAACAAGTCTTATGAGATTATTAGAAAGTCTGCCAAATTCCATCCTCTGTTGCAGTCTCTTCAGATCAAGGAATGTAGTTATATGGCAGAAGAGGGAGGAATAAACTAACAAGTACGAAAGGGAGTGAACGGCTACCTCCATAGTATAGTTGGTGTGCTTGTTGTCAAACACCAGGGCTTCTTGTATAAGCTGATGATCTCCCTCCAGTTTGTCAATGTTGTGTTTATAATTAATGATATTGTGCTCATATTGCTTCAGCTGATTCATCTGGTCCTCCAAAGGCCCTGTCATTTCAATAGAGCTGCGGGCAATTTCCTGTTGAAAGAAACAAAGACACCCCCCCGCGCCTTAAAATTTAGGCTTCAGATTTGCTAATTTGACCAACAGTCACATAAATATGTAATATTTTCATACTAAAAAGCAATAGTAATAAAACCTTCATACAGTGGAGATGAGAAATTTTACTCTAGAAAACATTTTTCAAAAGAAACGTGGCACATTGATTTCTGGAATTAGTATTGAGACCCCAGTGATCCTGGTATCTTTCCTTCACAGAAAGCAGAAGCTAAATTGTAATTGTTTAGTGATTGGGTTTTTTCAAAGCTACATCTCCTGCTCACCATCGAGGTACCACTTGTTCAAGCTTCCAATGTTTTAAAAATAATCTTAACACGTGCTAAATACTTCAGGATCAAACAGCTGGTGACCTATCATTGAGATTGCTGTTGTCCTGTATATAAAGCAGAGATAAAAAATTATAAACCACTTTGTTCATCAGCTTCTGCGTGAGGGTCTGACACTCACCTCCATCTTGGTCTGGATCCATGGCCCAATGACGTTGGCCTGAGCAGCAAACTGGCGACGCAAGCGCTCGTTGGCATGCTGGCGGGCTAGTTCCTCCTGCAAGGATTGATCCCTCTGAGGCACCAGCTGCTTCACCTGTTACAGCGAGAAAGCACTAAGTGTGAGTAGGCATAACTGAATAGTTTAAAAACAAATGGAACAAATAAGTCTACAGTTACTAATTCTTCTTACTGGTCTGAAGGTTGATATCAGAAGGACAAGCCAGAAACACAATCACTATTGTATTTACCAATTCTGTGCTAACATAAGAAATTGCTAATATGGTCTTGGGCAGTCTGACCAGAGAGACTGACATGGAGAGAGAAGAAATTCTCACCTCTGGCTGGATTCAAGTTCAAGAGAATTAATTAGCTTGAACTGCTATTGGAGCAGTCCCTTTGTTTTCCTTTTCTAACACAGGTGATTTTTCAACCTCTAAGTAATTGTTCTAAGAATAGTCAGTGCAAACCATTTTATTTGAGCACCGCCATTACTATAGGCTAACATGAGACACATTCTGTCCATCGTGTCAATCTGAAGGTCTCTAATACATTGCAAAAGTTTTTTTTGGCTTACTCTTTTGGATTGCCCTGGGAGATTCTTAATTTAGTCCTTTTTGCTTGGTTTTTGTAACCCATTGAAGGTGTGTTCTTGTTCGTGTAAGTTTATGTATTTGGTAAATTCATACATTCTACACAATCATTTACCTTTGGCATATTATCTGTCTTGGTTCCTAATGAAATAAAGCTTATGTGATTGCTCTAGGAGCCTCTCTTTAATATCTCCCCAGTAATTTTTTAAGGTAATTGCCAATTTCAGTCTAATTGGACAGAACATTAATGGTCCCAAAGATGCTAATTTTTCACATTTGTGAAAAGCAGCAGCTGGGTAGAAGAGATGCACTAACTACTGTTTATATTGAGAGAAAGAATACAATAATTTTCTGTTCTTTGACTGGCCCATCTGCTGGTCAGCCACCAGCTCTGCATGAGCCCCAACACATGCTTCTCTTGCCCTGCCAAAAAGGACATAGGTAATATTGAGTGATGGGAGCTAGGGATATTGTGAAGCGAGCCAAGCAAACCTAAGTGAGAGCATAACATACTGTAGGAAGTTCATTCTGGTATCTGATGATCTAGAATAACTTACAGATTTATTGTAAAGGTCTCTGAATATTCTCAGTATTCCTAAAGTAGAATACTATGTTACAATGATGTCCTTTACGTATTTAGCATACATTACCTTTTCCCACTTGCTACGAATCTCTTCCACGGTGACAGTGCTGTAAGGATTGCTTGCACTTATTCTCATGCTGTAACTCTGTATAACTTTTTCAACTTCGTTCTGGATTGACAGTATGGCCTGTCTTTCACCATCTGCCTCTGGCAAAGTAGCCTTGAATTGATCGTGTGCAGAGATTAAACTCTAAAATCAGAAACAGAGAGGGAAAGTATGAAAACTTTAATGTTTCTTGCAACATCTCAAAGATCTGCTGTAAATAAGCACAGCTCCTCTCAGCTTCTCAAGCACCCTGTCTACATGTGTCTGTACATACAGGAAATAATATGTAATACATTCATTAAATAGCCCTCACTGACTTTATCAGGCTATCATTTCTTCCATGATCTCTGGAATATGCTTTCATTCCAATGAAGAACCTATTTATAACAGAGCAAACATTGGCTACCACAAAGAAAATTACAAGACAGATATGAGGGTTTTTTTCTTACACATGTTCTACTCTCCAAGAAGGAAAAGCTTCCTTTCTTGTTCTCCCTATAACTGGAAGCCAAAAAACAATCATTTACCTGAATTTCCTCTATGCTATGAACAATAAACATGTCCTGTAGGTCTTCCATAGCACCTTCCATCCAGTTGTTGAAAGGAGCAGCTCTTTTGGCAAACTCCAGGTGAAGCTGATCAATTGTTTCGAGCAATTTCTCCGTCCTCTGTACAGGTTGGGAAAGGTACATTCCTTTGTTACTAGGGCAAGATCAAACTCCACGCACATAGCCACAAATGCACAAAGTCTTGCCTCATCTTTTCAAAAGCAGTGAGTGTATTGTTGACTAATTTCACCATCTGCTTTAAGGGTTCTCACTCAAGGCAACAGGACTAATTGCAATAAAGATACTCTCATATCCAACATGTTAAAAAGGGTGTATGCCTTTGAAGGATAACAGGTGAAATTACTTTTTCACTACTGATATTTTAAGTATTTTTGTTACTGTGATCTATCTGCAAATCAATTAATATCTGCTAATCTTGCTTTAGTAATTTCTTGTAAGTATAAAAAGGAAGAGTTAGACATATTTTCCACCTCGGCATACGTGTGGGTGACTTCCTCTTTTCTTAAGGAACAAAGTTTTGGAAAGAACCTCAGTGCTTTGGAATACTCACTACCAAAAAATTACCCCAGTGCTGGCCATTACCCTGTACCTCACCTGATTAAGCTCAGACAAGCATGAGGAGGTAAGCATCTAATGGCTTTTATTATCCTTGCTGGACATCAAATCCCAAAGAGAGGTGCTATAAACTGCATGCCATTTGTTGCTGTTTTAGAACAGTCCTTGGCAGCTAAGTACTGTCAAGTCTGCTCTGAGCAATTCAATCTGTTTGCAAATGAAACCACACCAAAATGAAATGGAGATCTGAGGAAAGGGGTTATTGCCGTTTGGATTCCAAAGTGGATGCTCAATGGCACTGTTTCCAGATCTGAAACAAATGGTTCATTCCCCTCTCCCTGCCTCAGCTGGGCTACTCATCGTTGTTATGTGGTTTACCTCCAGTGCCTCTCTCCTTTTCTGAGTAAGTGTTCCCAGGCTGTCCCATTGGTCACATATCTTTTGGCATCTATCATTGACACTTGCAGCATCATGGTAGTCCAGTTCACTAAGAAAGAGTAAAGACAAAAAAATCTATGTGACTTTCTGAAAGACGGGAGCAGTTGCATCGTCCACACTCTTTGACTGGCTCTCACTAATTCTTCCCCTCGTTTTCGCAATATTTCTCCTCCAGGTAAGCAAGTGTTGCAGTATAGACGTGTGTGATCTAGACATTTAGCATTTCAAGAAGCACAGCACAGGAACAGGATCAACCTCCTCTGTTGTGAGAAAAATCAAGTATCCATCTGTGACATCCAGGTATTAAAGACAATTAAGGTGTCTAACCATCTTTGTCTCAGCTATTCCTGTGGCACAAGCAATTTGATCTCCTGAAGACCAGAATTCTTCACCCTAGAGCTTTATCACGTTTCTGAAGATTGGAACAGTTTTAAATTAATTGCCCTGAAATATACATTTAATTTTACATTATCCAATGATCCTTTCCAGCCTCATATGCTCTGAAATTCTTTAACTGAGAAACAGACCTCAGGTTGCATTCAAAGCATAATTTCTCTCTCACAGGCCTGGCAATACTAATAGGGGCTGCCCAGATCTGGGGCACAGAGAACAATTTTCATCTTCTTCTCCAGGAACTCCTCACACAGCCTACACCCTAGAACTGGCAGGTTCCAAGAATAGGGATCTCCAGATCCATGTATGCCACCAACATGAATCAGTGCACCCACAAAGGATGTAGCAGCTAGCATTGCTTTTTCACCTGCTTAATAGGCTTATATTATCCTCACAGAAAGCAACTTACTATTCTGTCTAAGACTGGAATAACTTTTTAAGGTTCTGTCCTGAGATTCTGCACTGAGCCTATCTCAAATTGAATTTTTGATCTCAGTGGCAGATAATCTCCTTGGTTCTGCTGCAGCCATCATGACCATAATAAAATACATGTGTTTGGCAGTTTGGAAGCTCACTTTTATTGGTGTATCATCATCCACTGAATTTAGCTCTTGGCTGCTCCTTGAGGACACTTTGCCCAGTACTAAACATTGCAGAGACTGTGATTATGTGACAGCATGGCAATATGAAGCTAAGATTTACCTTACAGTTCAAAAAAGACATTAAATGCAGATAGAATTTGTTCCCTTCTTTTGAGCATTCTTCTCTAGGCAATTGGCAAGAGGAATGTATGGATCACTCTGCCAGTAACTTCGAGAATCACAGAGGACAGAATGAGAACAGAGGTAGCTTTCCTCTGGGAAGCTACACTGCAGGCCAGTGTTTGTGCTTCCTCCTCTAAGCTCAGTCAGAGCATCTGGTTCGGCATAAAGTTGAGAAGTATGAGACTCATTCTGTTTAAAAGAGGTTTCAGATGTGCTGCAATCAATAGACTGTTGAAAGTGAAGAATGGTAAAACAAGTAAAAATAAAATGCCATAACAATTTTTAAAATCATAAAACCAACCCAAAATTGTGAAAGTAGAACTGTTACATGTAAGGAGGAAGCTGCCAGAAAGTCATACTATAGAAGGGCTCCTTAACTTGAAAACTTGCAACAAAAAAACCTTTGGAGCAAGCCTTTTTGTTAGCCTTCAAGGGATGCAACAAAAGCCATCTATCTGTTAAGAAATTTTAAGTCAGAAGCATGGAGTTTTGGATGAAACAGGCTGAGATATATTTTGCTGTTACGAGTTTTTGGCTGGAAGGTTTTTTTCATTATAGCATATTGAGATTATTAAATGATGTTCCTGTGTGAGCTGTGAGCTCACTAAGTGGTGGGATGTAGAGATTTGTGTTCTAGTCTCTTTTCACATACCAAATCTAACACACTAGAATATGGACAGGGTATTTTTCCAGATACTCCAGGTCACATCCCTGAGAGTACTGCAAATTTATTTTTTTTTTGCTTCAATGGATCACTTATCTCCTTTTGTTGATTAGGATAAGGGCAGGTGTCCTTTCCTGAAAGTGGGGGACTGATTGTACCAGCTCTGGTCAAAGTCCTGGAAGGTAATGTGCAACATTCCTCCACCAGCTCTGCCAGGGAGGTGCCGTCATTCCCCATAAGATCTCTGCTATCCTAATCTCTTCCAGGTATATGTGCTGTGGACAAATGGGTAGGAGAATAATATTATCAAAACAACTTTTTAAAAGGGCACCCATGGGTCAAAAATCATAAGTTAGATTACCAAGTGGCATTAAACAGTGTAGCTCCACTGCCTTCCTGGGCCTGCAGTAGTTTACTTCACATAAGTGTATTATATGTGTCAAAGAACATTTTTCTGCTCAAAGCAGGAGCAGAGAAAGAAATAACAACTCATGGGAGATTATTTAGTTGGAAATAGAACACAGGTTTGCATTCGTTGTGCTATTAATTTTTGTATCTCTCTCAACATTGAAGCTGTGAAGAGAGTCGATTTAGATTTCACGTTTTGTAAAAAGAAGTTTTGCTTGTCATGCACACAAAATACTGCTGCACATGTGTTACAGATTTTCTAAGAGAACAGTCATTTCTATTCGTTTGGTTATTTGAAATATACAGCCTTTGGAATTTAAAGATCATTAAGCTATTTCTATTGATCTTACAAGTAGTTCAATCTTATCTGTAAAGAATTAAAAATTTAGTCAAATTTTGTCCTGCTCCAGAGAAGCACTGAGCATGAGCTCACTTTAGGAACAGTGATAGTGTCACAAAAATAACCTGCTGAGCAACATGGTTTAGCCCTGCTTCAGAACCAGGCTCATGTTAGTCATGCAAGTAAGCACAATTTGAGCCCAGGTTTCCAGAAGCAAAAAGAGTCTCCAAATCAGTGTTACAGACAGTGGTCGTCTTGACTGAAAATAAGTTGCTATACTAGAAGTGATGGATATGCAAGAAAATACATTCCAAAAATTTATCTTGATGACTGAAAACATTAAAATGAGCACACAAGATCATAAATGAATATGGAATTTCATAGTACAGCTCACTCAAATTCTATTTAACATTTGCTATGTCATAAATGGCAAATCCCATTTTAGAAATGCCTGACTTTTTCTAGCTTTGTATATAGCTCTATCCAAGCTTCATCAGGTCTCCTTGCCAAGGAATACCTAAGTCTATACAGACTGGAACACAACAGTCTTACTGCAGCATCCTGGCTGGAATCACTTGCTTGCACACACGCACAAATCCTTTATCTAAACAGCACCAGTCAACAACCTTGTAGCAACTTTAACCTTAAGCAACAGTAGACTGAGCTGCTGCAGCAGAAAATAGACAGGAAACTGTAACTGGTAGAGTTGAAGGTCACACAGCAATTGTTCTCCTTTGAAATAGCAGTATTAGGCAGCCAAGAGATTGACTAAAACAAAATGTGGAGGTGTACTGACTTGTAATTTAGACACAGATGATGACGATTTCTGTAAGGGCCTGATCCAATGACCAAAAAAAATAAAAAATACACACATTGACTTCAATAGGCTTTGTATCAGATGCCAATTGCACATTTCTTAGCATTCAGACATTAGTCAATCCTTCTTTAAAAATATGGATGGAGAAAGAAATTAGTGTTTTCCTACATAATTTCATTGTGTTAGGAATTATTTATAAATAATTAAAATCAATATTTAAATAGAAGCTGCCCGTTTGCTTGTAGCTAATAATAAAACTTGACCTTTATGATCTTTCATTCAGTGTTCTCCAAGAGCATTAAGCCTAACTAAGCTACTGAGTCTCCATGAAAAATCAGGCACTGATAGCTCCATTGTATAAAGAAGCAGAGAAGTCAAAGCAGAGCATATCTAAAGGCAGTGGGTTTTCAGCACCTTTGCAGCCCGAGCCACAAATAACTTGTTTAACTTCACACAGCAAATTACTGAAACAACTAAGAGACGATCCTAAAATAGATAGGATACGGTGTTCACTGGCCTCACCAGAGGTAAAGGACACAGGGTTCAAAATGCTGGTAAGCAGATGCTGTGCTATGTATACTGCATTCCCAAAGTTTCTCATCACTTGTAAAGCTGAAGCTGAATTAACAATGATTAGGTGTTTCAGAAACTTTCTTTAGTATAAAGAGGAATAAATAACTCCACAACAGAGATCAAGGTGTGCCAGAATGTTTCATAACCTCACGTACTCCATGAAATCTCCATTCTCTGTGTTTTTCAGACCACTGTGCTTTACTTTTCCTCCTTTAAATAATCTTGAAAAATAGGATTTTTCTTCTAAATCCATTTGAATTATACAATTACTCTAGGTGTTGCTGCTATCAGGTATGAACTACATTTTTAAAAAAGTCTCTTGATTTTTGACTTGTTAATGAATGTGGAGCTGGTTATGAGTCATGGTCCTTCACAAAGTAAAAAGAGGCCATGTTTTTAATACTTGATTTTTGAGTAGTAACTGTGTTGCTTGTTCAAGCAGGTGAGAAACTGAAAGTTGGAGAGCTGAAGCCAAGGGCAGGAATCTGAAAATTTTGATCTTGGCTCCTGTTCCGACCACTACCGAACATTTGTTCCTGTTGACTTTACAGATTTATACTGCGGGTGAGCAATGAATTTCAGTATGTGCCAAAATGCTAAGATCTGGAGTAGTGCCACTGATTTACAGTACAAAACCACTGCAATTAATTGCATAAGATTATAAAATTCAATGTGCCTAGCTTGGTGTACACACCAAGATGACTTTACCAGAATAAGGACATCAGTATGTAACACTACAGTCCTGTCAGTGTGGGCAGAGCTTTGCTGATAAAACTGTACTTCACATAGGTGAATTAACAACCTTGCCACAAACAAGAGTGAGCTGCACCACTAAAGAGAGAGTTTAGCCAGAGTAACTGCATCAGCACTCAGGACTTCTGCTGCTGTAAGGGTGGCTGTCAGTCAGAGGCTTTGACTTTTCACATCCCTGACCTATGTAGCTGATGTAAACAATACAGATGTAGCCTAAATGTGTTGTAGAATTGTTCTCAGCCTTGGTTGTGTTTCCTCTGAGCATAGTATGCTGAATGAGCAAGTGTTGGTCCTGTGGCTAAGTTGATGGAACTGTGGGTAAAAACTCTTTCTCCCCTACAGGACAGCTTGTGTGCTTGATGGCTCATGTGACCCTGAGCAAGTTATTTAGTTTCCGTATGCTCCACTGCCCTCTCTGTAAAATGGAGACAATGGCACTTCCAAATACAATACGAAGAGATTGTGAAAATAAGAATACTACAGACAATTAAATCATCTTCAGAGAAGTCAGTGCATTACCCACTACTATAGAGACAATTCAGGGATGTAAAGCCTTCTGAAAGGACCAATATCCTTGTGCGAAAATATTTGATTTTAAAGTGAAGATGCTTGATCTGTAATTTGTGTAAGTGAAATTGTCTTCTAAGTTAAACGACTCATCGCCAGTACCTCTCAGCAGACCATATGAACTGAGAAATTAAAACCTCCAGGATTCCCATCAACACACAATGGACTCATCAGTAGAGCTAATGGTAAAAGATTACTGTTAAGTTGATTTTAAAATGTTTGTTTTCAAATAATTTTGGTCAGTTGAATATCTATATTTGGGTAAGGGGGAGATGAGGGAAAGGTCTCAGTGACCAGCTCAGATAATATACTTACAAAGTTATCTCTGGAATTCTTACGTTGGTACCTATGACACTATCAAATTCATTGGAAAGAGTTTATCGCAAAGTTAAATGTCAGCAGCTGCAAGCCTTTAAATGGAACATACTTCAGCTCCTGGGCAATGGCAGCGATCTGTTCCACCCTGTCCTGGTGAGCAGCCAAATCGCTCTCAAAAGCTTCATGTTTCCTTAACATGGCGCGGACTTCTGTCAGAGAAGCAGATTCATAATCCTTCTGAAGTAAGATCTGTTCTTTGCCTGAAAGAGGAAATAAAAATATTAGTTATTTTTTACTAATTCATTGGTTAGAACAATTGCAAATTTAGTCAATTTTTAAACAGAGGCATGGTGAAAATCACATGTATGAGATGAAGTCTCACTCCCACTGAAATCAGTAGCAAACTGTCAGCCCAACAATACTAACCAGAAATACAAATTTTTAAAGATCTCTCAGTAATTCCTTGATTTTTGCATAGGCTGTCTATACTGGTCTAAAATAGCAAGTATCACATTGCTTGAGAAACTGGCATAAAAATGGTATATTGGCAAAAAATGGGGCTCTAAACTATTGTGATAAATCTTTTGTAGAGTAGACTTAGGAAACCAGAAATCACACTGCTGCATGCAGCTTCAGTCTTACTAATGATCTCTTAATCTCTTCCATGTTCTGCCTTCAATTCATTGTTCATTTCACCACTTCCAAAAAAAAAAAAAAAAACAACCAACCACCCAAAAAATAATTGAGACGTGTGGCTGCCTTTTGTATCAAACACTGAATTTTAAGTGGAAAATGCCAACCTATTTACAAAAGGCTAGAGAAACAAGGAGGAAATCAGAAACTGAAATATTACTCCTCAGTAGTTTCTGTGCTGGACAACTAAATCTATACAGACAGCCCCTACAACTGCAGCTCACCACATAGCATTACACAAGCTCTGTGAATTCTAGAGCCAGAAGGGACTATTGTTTCACTTGCTATGTACCAGTTTACATGAAGTTTTCCCTGCATAACAGCCATAACATGTCACCATGAGTAGTTTATGCTCAGAAAATAGGCTCTCAGGGCTGATAAACACTGCAGTTTAATAGAATTGCAGAATGGTTTGGGTTGGAAGG